GTCGTGAAAATTCAAAGAAAAGAACGGAGGTGCTGAAGTGACGTAATATAATGCTACTGCTAATGGAGGTAAGACGATGCAAAAGTGCTGGTGTTAAGAAAAGCACCAAAGTGATTTAAGAAATGCTACCAGTAAGAAAACGCTGAAGAGATCCAAGAAACCAAGAATAAAAAGTGTCCAAGTAAAAAAGTCTTTTTTTCAATTTATTTTACTTTCGTCAGATTGCAGCTTAGATGATAGATCGATAGATGCACCTCACCTGAAGCAATCGTTAGTCTGAGGCACATCATAAATGTTGGAAATTATATTAAATCAAATTTGTGAAATTATAATAAATCATATTATATGAATTGTTTTGTTTAAAAATTAATTCAGACATCCAGATCTTTTCTGAAAATATGTTTATGATGGCATGCCGCTTTCGTATTTCTGGTATGATTAACGTTTAAGGCTAAAAGTTTAAGTTGACGTATAAGGGAGTTCTTACATTCGTAAATCTTTTTTTTAAAAAAAAAATTTAAAGAGGTCGAAAACCCTAATGCTACTTATAGTTATGAGCATAAGGACTGCAACAAATATATCACAAATCCATTTTACAAAAATGGATCTTATTACAATGGAGATTTTTCAATCCCATTTGAAAATAATTACAAATTGGTATTAAGCTTATCAAATAACACAAAATATGGAAAGCATGGCGAACAATCGATTACTTTTCAATTTCAATTTATGGACCAAAATGTGAATTTAAATGCTAGTTTTTTTGACTGAATTTTCGCTGCATATTCTTTCTGTCTAAGTTTTCAAACGTACAATCTTCAATAATTTCTATTCATATAATTTTTTTTTTGTGCTCATTGACTGATCGATAGATTACGCATCTCGGCTAACAATCTACATCTGAGATGCGTCAGCTGTGATCTGAGGCAAGCGTTAATCTGAGACACAACATATATATGCAGTCGACTCTGGATATAACGAACTCTGGATGTAACGAAGTCAAAATTTTAAATTTCATAATAGTTCGGTATAGAGTGCATAGTTCTTTAAGAAAACACAATGATTTTCTATAATGAACATTTTTCTTTCCAGAACCGTCAATCCGTTATAGAAGGAGTTAACTGTATATATATAATGTTTTACCTGGCACCGGCATATCTTCTGTAATATAAGAATAATTAATGACAGGTTGATCGTTTATGACGTCAAAAATTATATTAATAGTAAAGATTACGATGCAGATCACAAAAAACAACATGGTAATAATTCTTATGACATGAATTGAAAAAGGTTCAGTCTTGCGATATCTCTGGTAAATTTCTCCAAAAATCATCTCGCTCGAAATTTAGGAATTATCACTTAATTGTTATAAACTACATATTCCAAAGTTCAGTTATATATATATAATATTGATATACATTAAATTAGCTGATAACCGTGTTACAAGCAATTTTGAAATTTACACTTAAAATAAAAGTTACATAACGACATTTTTGTGATTTCTCTGATTTTGTATTTGCATACGTATGTATGCATATATGTACAGTACGTATAAACATATTTATGTTCTTTCTTTTATTCTGTATGTGTTTTTTTTCATTTTCTGTGTTTTTATTTTATAAAATGAAAGGGATAATAAAACTTTCTTTTTGATTGAAAATCTTTTACACCTATTTATGTTGTGCCTGAAGTTCCACACGAATACAGTACGTACGTACCTAGAATTACTATTTAATACATTGCATACAAGAATGCTTAGTGCTTATGTCAGTCTCGGGAGTGATGCTATGGTTTCACTAGTATCTCTACTTCGTGATCATTTCGAATAGAACATCTTTATAAGCAAAACAAAAGAAAAACAACCATTATCTTGATCAATTATAACTTTTAAAATACTATTATTGTGAATAGCATTTGCTAATACCAGATTTGCTTTAATATTAATTAAATATTTTTAAATATTAAATATATTAATAGAGTTGTATAAATAATTTTTGCTAATTTTAATATATCTCTTGATCAAGCTGGTTATATTTGGTTGTTTTTACAAGAAAATTAGACAGCAAATCAAATCTATTTGATTTATGCATATCTTTGGAACAGAGTTTGTAGCGGTATTTAGGAAGGCGTTGCATTAAAGACCCTTATAACCTAATAAAAAGGTCGCTGCTATTAATTGTGATACGTAGAAGCGGCTATTGTTATATAAAATTTCATAAATAAAAAAAATTTTGTTAGTGTGAAAAGAAATTTCAAAAGAAAATTAAATTATCTTATTTTTTGTTTCTTTGTGCTATGTATGTATGATTTCGATATTGAATTGGCCATTGAACCTTTTTTTTAGACGATAACGATTACTGTAAACGGCCGAATAATAAAAGACCCCTAGACCCTATGCATAAAATGTGTATGCAAATAGGAATAAGTTTATTTGGGGATTGCATTTAGGGGCTACATTTAGGAGTCTAATTGCATAATAAACATAGATGCGCGCACCTAATTCTAAATAACTTGTACTAATTTAGAAGATCGTATTTTTTCAAATGTTATTGTAGCCCAGCAGCATTTGAGTTATTTGTTGAATCCCTCACGTAACGTAAAACGAATTTTAGTCATCAAGGCTTTCCCGACCTAAACGTATAATTTGATCAAGCAAGTTTCTTTCTTATTGTAACCCCTTTACTTCTTTTTTAAGTTTCTGCTGTGATTCCTAAGTTTCATGTTCAACGAAATGCTTGTGCAAAGGATTAATTTTTGAATCTGTATTAAAATTTCTGGCGTTATGCGGATTTGCATTTTATGCACATATATGCCTATTGAATTTGGATCTTTAATATCTTTAATGTAATTAAATTCCTATGAAAATTCAGTGAAGAGTCTTAAACTCATCATTGATCGAGTCTAATACTTTACATTGTTAATTTAATGGGTGAGGCATATAATAAGTCGTTATATCCGTAATTTAATGATGTGCTTAACACTTATTATTGTTAATTTAATGGATGAGGCATATAAAGGTTATTTTTAGTAAAGGCACATATTAAGATAAGCAATTTATACCGGTGTCCTAAAATTTCCTATACACGGACCCTTTTTTTTTATGCAAATATTATATTTGCATAAAAAATCGTCGTGATCTCTATATATAAAGTCACTTAAAAAAGGGACAATGTATAGATATTATTATTGCATCTTGCAGCTCTCTCATTTCAATTCAATTGTTGTAATACTTGATCTTATATAATTATTTCTGTACACTTATTATAAATTGCAATTATGTGAAATCAAATATTATAATAGTAACAACATATGTGTTGTAAATGAGAACAGGATTTAAGTGGATTTAGAGATTTTAGTTAAATTAGTATTTCAGAGCAGTGTTTATTTTATATAAACACTATTCCTAACCCTAAAATTCCAAATTCACTTAATCCCGTTCCCACTCACAACGTTCTACGGCTATTCGCTTT